GTGTGTGTGTGTGTGTGATGGGAGTGGGGTACCTTGACCCACAGAGTTCAGGCAGAGACAAAGCATTCTTTTGAGGCCTCATTCTCACCCTCACCAGAGTTTTGCAAGAACAGAAACAGAGGGCTGCAGTTTAATCGAAGTGCTGCACTGGTGCACACACAAGTTCAGTGTTTAAATTAAATATAAATGTAGTGACTGACCACACTGCGTGTAATAAATGCCAGATATAGTAGCTTGATAAATTTAATTAAATGAATAAATGCAGCACTAAATGAACCAAAAATGTAATCGATACTGAAACACTGGATCACAACATGTGATTATAATGTTTAAAACGCACATGAAAAGACACTTTTAACCTATTTATTTTATTGCATTAATTAAATGTTGATGAATTACTGGACTCAGTATTAAAGGATTCCACATTAATTCTATGTTATATTATCAGTATTGTGTTCTGTAACAAAATAAAGAACTGTACTATATGGGTTTATTTTTGTGGATGCACTTCAAATGAAGACAGGCAATATTCGTGGATACCTTCATTTTTCATCCAAATCAGACTGAATTAGTAAGGGAGCAGCACTTAGATGGGATAGTTATCAATGATCAGAGGCAGATACTCAAGAGAAAAGTGCTTCAGAAGAGTGATTCATCACATCAGAGAAATGCACTTAAATATAGCCTGAGAGAATCAGGGATCCACACAGTGAAACTCCCTGTCCCTCCCTTTGTCTGCTCTTAACACACACACACACACACACGCTCAGTAATTATTATTTGCTCTTGCTGGAAGTGTCATGGTTGATCACTGCCTCTCATGTCCATAAAGACACTCGCACACCTCCATTACCCTGTCAAAACTTATCAGTGTGTGCGTCTGCGTGAGTCTTGCAACTGTAACTGAGAGAGAAGAGAAGAGAGTGACATAAAAAAAGGAAAGAAGTGAGAGGCAATTTAATTTCTTTCTTAATCCCCCCTCCCTCCTACTGTCTCATCCTCATCTCATCACAGTGAAGGGGAAAAAATGACAGAAGTGTTAATCTCAACTTTGCCATTCTAGCCTTCTTCATTTTCAGAGAACTGTTATCATGAGGAAAGATAGACTCCCTAGATGAGTATTATGGTTTTCATAAAAGCCCTCCTGTAGCGAGGGCACGGGGACAAACCAGGTCAGTTTCAAGCAGGGATATTAGATTCATATTTTATATAAAGGGTCTATTTCGTACGCACACACACCATTAACTCTAATCATGCAATAAGCAACTTAGTGTTATTTGACATATTGCAGATGGACAGTTTTGTATGAATCACCTGCTTGTTTTATGTGAGCTATTTGCTATTTGCTCTGTGCTGTTTCCCTGGTCATTCTGAACAGTATACTCCTGCTTTGGAAAGCTGTCAGATCCAATTTCCTATCATGAGTGTATGAGGACACCTGCTGGACATTTGTTGACATTGTTTCCACTTTTAATCAGCCTCATAGGAAACTCATTTAATGTGGCTTAATCCAGTTTAGCATTCATTCACTATTTATCTGGATGTTTGTTTGTAGATGTGAGAGTCTGCTAAATCCAAACACACACATTGCACGCAAGACAAATGCAGTTTTCTGTGTTTTTTTTTTATTGACACTCCATCTTCTTTAGTTGTTCATCATAACCTGAAAGCAAATTATTCAATCATTAGTTGAAATACAGCATTTACTGTAAACCAAAATTCTAATCTGTTAGTGTGTCTCCAATACCTGGTCGATCCAGTTGTTGAAAGCGGACACTCTGGTGAAGACGGTGGGTTTCTTCTCATAGTTGCAGCCAAGGCCAGAGACGAAGCTGGCAATGCCATGAACCTCCCAGACGCCCTCGGTGTTCTTACAGTTCAGAGGGCCGCCAGAGTCACCCTGGATACAGAGAAAAAGAGAGGAGGGTTTATGTTTTATTCATTTGATGGAGTTACTGTTAGACTGGCAAGGTGAAACTATGAGAATCACAATCAGAATTATTGTTTCACCAAGTAACATTTTTCATGTTCCTTAACAGCTAGACAACACGTGAGTGTGATGAAAAAAAATCTCCCCCCCGATTCCTTTAATTGATCGTACTCATTGCATTCAAATTTAAATTTGCTTCAGCATAATAAAGTACAGTATTTATAAAGCATACAATACAAGCTTTACAACGTAGGTATAATTCAGAATTTTTTAGAGGAAAAAAAAATAGCACAAACGTACATTGCATCCAGCGACGATTCCATCCCCACCGGCACACACCATGGTAGTCCTGACAGCAATACCCCACCAGTCAGGCTGGGAGCAGGTGGCATGGTCAGCCACAGGCATCAAAGCCTGCTGCAGCTTATCAGCTATGGGGCCTCCGGCTAAAACACACAGGCAGAGTCTATTACCATCATCCACATACACTAGCCTCCTGTCAAATCTGCTTTTCAGCATTTCCCCAAGCGCCAAATTTACAGTCCGACCCAAATTTTCAATTTAAAAGTAACCCCCCCCCCCAAGAAAAAAAAAAACCTTAACTTTAAACTAAAACCTCATGCATGTGATTTTCATCCCAACTTTGGTTTCCCTGGGTAACCCTGATCACGCACACCAACACACCGCTGGTTATAAATCCAAACATAATGCTTGCACACCAGTTGAACATCCTCATGCACAGTAACATTTCAGAGACGCTAAGCTGAAAAAAAAATACAATGACAGACACATAAACACAGTCCAGCCTTCCACAAATGGTGACTTACTGTACAGCCTCCCCCATCCGGTGATGTAGCAGGGGTAGAGGTTGGACAGCACAGTGCCAGCAGAAGGGATACATGCCAACTGCACCTGGTCACTCAAAGTCACAGACTCTGACAGCTTGATCAGGGCAATATCGTTACTGCAAGAAAGAGAGAAAGACTTATGGAGGTGGTTGTACTGACATGCAATTTAAAATCTTCCACCAGGGCCAATAAGGAGAAGAAACAATGCTAGATAAGATAATGAGAATGCATTCTTTCTCATTGTACTCATGTCTATAAATTCAAATAAATCATCTCAATGGCGGAGCTTATCGCTCTAATTTGTCCAGCTGCATATTGTAAGGGTGGGGGTTGTAACTTGGACCAAAGGAATTAATGTAATTTGAGCCTCAGCCCACTTTTTCACCTTCACACAGAACAGCTTATGATGTACTGTATGTCGCAGCAGGCGACTCAGGCTGCTCTTTGTACTGTATGGCGGTGCTTGTCTTACCCGAAGGCCACAAAGATGGGGTTCCATTTCTCATGGACAACAATCTTCTCAGGCAGGATAGCCTTGGAACCAGCCTCTTCCTCGACCAGGTTGTATTTTCCCACAAACACCCTGTAGGACAACTTGGTGCTGGGGGAGAGAACAGACTGTTGAGGACAATGCTAAACCAGACAGAATATTTAGGGCACAGTTCAATGATTTTATAAGCTTAAACTGATGGTTAAATGTGGTGGTAAGATTTGAACTGGGCTGTGGTCCAGATGACCTTGAGTGTACTTTCATTGAGTGAC